AACAAGATTTCTACCAACAATGCACATAAGCTGTAAAACAGAACATATATAATAAAAATAAAAATAAAAGTTAGTATAATATGGGGAATTCTACTGTGCTTAATACAGCTTATTTTAGTAAGGAAGTATTTCTGACCTTGGCCCATTCCAAGATACAGATAAGACAGAAGATGTGTTCACATGAGTCTGGTGATCCAACTTCTCCTCGCATCCGGCCCAGGCAGATAGCACAAGTCTCCGCTCCTGGGATGTCATTGCTGCTGTCTGAATCACCAGATTCATTTTCTTCTTCTGAAAGATATCAAAAGCATTATAACAAACCACTATATAATTCTGTATGCAAATATGTATTATACACTCTACATTATTAAATATAATCCTTATTAATAAGGATTATTAACGTGGTTACCTCATTTATGGCATGATGATAATTTCTTGATGCTTAAATACAATATCAAAAAGACTTAACACTGAAAACTATTCAAGATAGTCCCGAACACCTGATTCTATTTAGACTTTAAGTCATTACTATAACAATTAACCCCTAAGCTGCTCTGGGCTATTTGGCTTTCAAGGCATGCATATATATATACACACACACACGCCTGGAACCTGGTGTGTGTGTGTGTCCTGAATGTCTGGAAAATCTGAGACCTGGAACTTCAAGAACAAGAGGTCATAGATTTAAACTAGATAAACACAGATGCCAAAGAAAATTCACTTTCGCAAACAGTGCTAGACAGTTGGAAGAAGTTAGGTGAGAAGGTGGAAGAAGTTAGGTGAAGAAGGCCAAGACCGTCAGTAGTTTCAAAGCGTTATATGACAAAGAGTGCTGGGAAGACAGGACACCACGAGCGTAGCTCTCATCCTGTAAATACACTTAAGTAATTACACTTACTACCACAGTACCAGTACACAGTAGGTAGTACCACAGGGTTCAGTTCTTGCACCGGTAATGTTCATTGTCTACATAAACGGTCTACCAGTGGGAATACAGAATTACATGAACATGTTTGCTGATGATGCTAAGGTAATAGGGAAGATAAGAAACCTAGATGATTGTCATGCCCTTCAAGAAGACCTGGACAAAATAAGTATATGGAGCAACACTTGGCAAATGGAATTTAATGTTAATAAATGCCATGTTATGGAATGTGGAATTGGAGAACATAGACCCCACACAACCTATAAATTATGTGAGAAATCTTTAAAGAATGCTGACAAAGAAAGGGATCTAGGGGTGGTTCTAGATAGAAAACTGTCACCTGAGGACCACATTAAGAACACATTAAGAAGTTCCAGTTGGTACCATCTCAGGTTCTGGCTTGGCTACTTACTCAGCTAGTACTGGTGAGGTCTCAACTTTCCCATTAGAACCTTGAGCACCTTTTGGATGGCCTGAACTTTGTATAATGTACTCGCTGAGTTACGTCTGGCTTAATGGACTTGACCCTTTTTTCCAGTGGGTGTCCTTTCAGCACTGTCAGGACCATGTGGTGTAAGCTTTATTTCACTTCAGGTGGGTTTTTGCGTTGACTTTAGCTCTTTAGAATTTTCCGGGTTCAGTTCCATGGAGCCCTCCCTCCTTTGTCTCTCGAGTTGTTCACAGATATGCATCTGACCATGGCTAGGGCATTGTCTCCAACTCTCTCAATATCAATCAGAGGAAGTTATCTCGTCACTTATGGCGGATGCACATCACTGTGTGTGCGAGTTCTCGGTGGTCTGGATAGCACTTTGGCACATCACTCTCCCACAAGGCTCTGCTCTCTACCTTCAATTTGAACTGAACCATGTTAATTCAGTGCCTCAACGGAGAAGGTGGTGGGGGGGGGGGGGGGGGCGGATTAGACTCGCTTCTGGCATCCTGGAATTTGGTTCTCGGCGGGTTCACATTCTGGGCGTGATCTCTCATTTACATCCAATTTTGATGGGAGTGGGCAATGGACAAGGCCTCCTTACTGGTTTTGCAAAAATTTTGGTCATATGCAAGGAACCAGCAGCTTTTTTCCTTTTCCAGTCCATGTGGTATCAACATCAATGGGCAAGTTTTACCTGGACTGGGATCAGTGTTCTTACCTATACAGTACCTCTTACCAGGCCAGATGCTTCTTCCCCCATGCTGACCAGGTTAGAGACCCTTGTGGGCTGCATTCCTCTGCTGACTTCCCAGTGGCCACTTTATCCCCAGTTCCTGACCCTTCATGCCACACCAAACCAATCTTTGAGAACACTTTTTAGGCCATCACCTGATGGGCCTTTTTGTGTCACACTGCATCTGTCTTCATGATGGCAGTATGAGGTGGCTTCACAGGCATTGTGACTTCTGCCTTGTGGAAAGACCTTAGTCACTGATACTTCATTTGTCCTGTGGCTGAAGTGTGGTGTCATTTGCACGCTATGAGCATCGTTGGGGTTATCTTGAGGTTATCTTGAGATGATTTCGGGGCTTTTTAGTGTCCCCGCGGCCCGGTCCTCGACCAGGCCTCCACCCCCAGGAAGCAGCCCGTGACAGCTGACTAACACCCAGGTACCTATTTTACTGCTAGGTAACAGGGGCATAGGGTGAAAGAAACTCTGCCCATTGTTTCTCGCCGGCGCCCGGGATCGAACCTGGGACCACAGGATCACAAGTCCAGCTTGCTGTCCGCTCGGCCGACCGGCTCCCTGAGGCATTATTTGCCTCAGGTTGGGTTGAGGCATTATTTGCAAATCCTGCAATTACCTAAGTGTAGGTACAGGATGAGAGCTACGCTCGTGGTGTCCCATCTTCCCAGCACTCTTTGTCATATAACGCTCTGAAACTACTAACGGTCTTGGCCTCCACCACCTTCTCACCTAACTTGTTCCAACCGTCTACCACTCTGTTTGCGAAAGTGAATTTTCTTGTATTTCTTTGGCATCTGTGTTTAGCTAGTTTAAATCTATGACCTCTTGTTCTTAAAGTTCCAGGTCTCAGGAAATCTTCCCTATCGATTTTATCAATTCCTGTTACTATTTTGTACGTAGTGATCATATCACCTCTTTTTCTTCTGTCTTCTAGTTTTGGCATGTTTAATGCCTTCAACCTCTCCTCGTAGCTCTTGCCCTTCAGTTCCGGGAGCCACTTAGTAGCATGTCTTTGCACCTTTTCCAGTTTGTTGATGTGCTTCTTAAGATATGGGCACCACACAACTGTTGCATATTCTAGCTTTGGCTTAACAAAAGTCGTGAACAATTTCTTTAGTATATCGCCATCCATGTATTTAAAAGCAATTCTGAAGTTTGAAAGCGTGGCATAGGCTCCTCGCACAATATTCTTTATGTGGTCCTCAAGTGATAGTTTTCTATCTAGAGCCACCCCTAGATCTCACTCTTTATCAGAATTCTTTAAAGATTTCTCACATAATATATAGGTTGTGTGAGGTCCATGTTCTATTCCACATTCCATAACATGGCATTTATTAACATATTCCAGGGACCTGCCCGAAACGCTATGCGTACTAGTGGCTGTACAAGAATGTATTAAATTCCATTTGCCAAGTGGTGCTCCATATACTTATTTTGTCCAGGTCATCTTGAAGGACATGACAATCATCTAAGTTTCTTATCCTTCCTATTATCTTAGCATCATCAGCAAACATGTTCATATAATTCTGTATACCAACTGGTTGATCATTTATGTAGACAATAAACATCACTGGTGCAAGAACTGAACCCTGTGGTACTCCACTTGTGACATTTCTCCAGTCCGATACATTGCCTCTGATCACTGCCCTCATTTTTCTATCAGTCAGACAATTTTTTCATCCAAATTAAAAGCTAACCTGTCACCCCTCCAATGTTTTCTAATTTCCAGAACAACCTCTTATGTTGAACTCTGTCGAAAGCCATTTTTAGGTCCAGATAGATGCAGTCAACCCAACCATCTCTTTCCTGTAATATCTCTGTTGCTCGATCATAGAAACTGAGTAAATTTGATACACAGGATCTTCCAGATTGAAAACCATACTGTCTGTCTGATATTATATCAATTCTCTCCAGGTGTTCTACCCATTTAGTTTTAATTATTTTTTTCAATATTTTGACTATTACACTTGTCAATGATACCAGACTATAATTAAGGGGGCCTTCCCTGCTTCCACTTTTGTAGATTGGAACTATGTTAGCCTTTTTCCACACATCAGCTACAACTCCTGTTAACAGGGATGCCTGAAAAATCAGTTGAAGAGGAATGCTGAGCTCAGGTGCACATTCTCTCAGAACCCACAGTGAAACTCCATCTGGACCAACTGCTTTGTTCTTATTTAGCTTCTTGAGCATTTTTTCCACTTTGTCTCTAGACACCTCTATGTGCACTATGTTGTTCTCTTGAATTCTTATTGTATCTGGTTCCCCGAAGATTTCATTTTGTACAAACACACTTTGGAACTTTTCGTTTAATGTTTCACACATTTCTTTTTCCATTTTCCGTGAATCTATTTCCCATTTCACTGTGTCTAACATTTCTTGTGCCAAGGCCTACTTACCCCATATCATTTGCAAGGTGGTTTGGTTAAGCCAACTGACCATGTATCCTATCATGATGTATGAACATTCAGTGTTTTAGCAGTTTCTTTACCAACAAATCTATAGCTAACACCCAAGCTCAGGGTTTCTGGCATCCTAACAGGGGTGTTGGCCACGCATTGCTTATTGGGTGTCACGTGGCCTTGTGCTTGCATTGCATGTTCAGCACGCAACCGATGTTGTTGTTTACCAAGTTCTCTTAAGCACAGTCTGCCTTTCTGTTTTGTTAATTCTTTTTCCTCTCTACAGACTGCTGTTGTGAGTAACCTCGGAAAGCTACCAAAAGTTGCCTCCTAGGCAGTTTCAGGAAATTGCATAAAGAATCTCCATGGTCACTGTTGGCATGTTTTTTGGTTCAAGTCATTGTCATTTAGGTGTGGTGATATGTCTTGGGCATCAACCTCTCCAACCCTCTCTTTCAGAGAATAAATCTGTCTCATTTCATTGTGAGCTGATTACTGTTGAGATGTGGTTTGTTAATTATGGGCTACAACATACTATATGTCCTGGGATGACCGTTTGTCAATACCTCTCGGACACTGAAGGATGCCACTCTCTGCTTATTTCTAAATCCTTGCTATATACTCCCTTGACCCTGAAGATAAATTATCACATAACAAATAATGATTGGCTATAGCAAGTTAGCCATGCAACAAAGAAAATGCAGTTTTGACTGTTCTTATTTTTTTTTTTTGGCCATGACTATGGCCGATATCAGGGCCCAAGACTCTTGGAAATCCAACAGAACTCTGATTAAATAGTATTTGCCTGACCTCCCATGCTCTTGTTGCAGGTGCGTCTTTTTGGGGCAACAGACATCGGTGTAACAACGCTCCTCTGCGTTGTCCAAGCTCTTGTAAATCACGAGATATCTTCGAGCTATACTCCACAGCGACCTTGTCAATTATTGGGAAATACCTCGTTTCCAGTTCTATCACTGTAGATCTAAGTGTCCATTTCTTTTCTAACATGTGTGGTTCTGGTTAGGAGGCAGGATAAGCAACCCCGGAATGGTTAAGTGTCCGTCACAAACAAATTTTAATATTTACTTGTAATATTTTGATCTGTAGATGTTTGCATTCTTTACAAAGTAACATTCCGGTAGTTTGAAAGTCTGGACTGTTCGAAATACAGAGTTAAGTGTCCTACAACTTAAGGCATACGGTATAACGAAACGACGCCATAAACCGTATTGTCTACGAGGGAGGGACTGGGCCCATGTGAAGCTCCCATGTGTTCAGACGGGAGTTTCAGCTTCTGATACAGAAAGCTGTAGTTCCATATAATTACTAAATTTATTAATTCACACTTTATATAACTTGAAATTTCACTTGGAAGATTTAACTAATAATTTAAATTAATAGAATTTAAATATAAAAACCCCATAAGTGTGAAGGACTATTTGTGTGGAGTTATTACAAATACAGTCCACTACTTTCCATAAATAAATTACTTTAATTGAATAAATACAGTACAGTGACACCTTGGTTACGAATGCCACTATTTACGAACTTTTTGTTTACGAGCCCAATTTCTTCATAAAAATTTGAATCAGGTTATGAGCTTTGCCTCGGGTAACGTAGTTTGTCGATACCCGTATAGGCGACCTAACGCGTGGTTCCTGGTGGCACGGTCGCCCGCACCTGTTTACTAGTGCCTCCCACTTAGTGACGACTGCGCTTCAACTCTGTGTAAAGAATTTAATTGTTTTTTGCCTTTTTGGGGGTTTTGAACATAAAAGTAATTATTATATATCATGCCATGAGTCCCAAGAAAGTCAGTGGTAAGGTTCAACCTAAGAAAACACATGTGAGGATGACCAAAGAGTAAAAACAAGAGATCATTTGTAAACATGAAAATGGTATGTACATGGGTTGTTGAACTAGCTAGGCAGTACAACAAATCTATATCAATGATGTGCACTGTAATTGTTAAGAAAAAGGACATTATGAGTGCTAAAGTGGCAAAAAAGGCATATCAACAATCATGAAACAAAGAACACAAACACTTGATATTGAAAAGTTATTAATTTGGATACACAATAAGGAGTTAACAGTGATAGCATTTCAGAGGCCAACATTTGTGAAAAAGCAAGGCTATTGCATGAAGACCTTTTAAAGAAAACCCCCTGGAACAAGTGATGCAGATACATAAGAGTTTAAGGCGAGCAGGGGACAGTTTGAGAAATTTAGAAATAGAAGTGGCATTCACAATATTGTGAGTGTTGCGTGTTGTGAGTTGGTGGAGGAACACAGCGAAGAACTGACCACCAAAGAAATCCTAGCTCTTCACAATGAGTAGCAATAAGAGGTAGCTGATGAAATTTCTTCAGGGGACGAGGAGACAGTACAGAATGTCCCTTTCCTCATCAATTAAGAAGTGGTGTAGACTATGGGAAGAAATGCAAACTTTTTGTCAAAATGACTCACCCAGAGCAAGCTGTAGTAGGTCAGTACCTTAACCTTTTTAATGACACTGATACCTCACTACAGACAAGTGTTACAACGTAGGTGAAAAGCCATCAGGTGATGCCCTTTTCACCTATGTTGTAACATTTGTCTGTAGTGTACTGCACTGTAGAGTGCAGCCCTCCCCCCTCCCCCTCTCGGGGCGGGGAGGGCTGCATGGACGATCAGCGCGGCAGTTAAGTGTGAAATTTGCTTGTTTCCTTGGGATTGTAGGGAGTTTCTACTCTGTTTGGTTTTCAGGTTTTAGTTTTTACCATGTGGGGTTTGTTTTGTTATGTATATTTTTTTGGGTGCCTAACCCCGGTCGATGGCAGATAAGGAAAACCCCAACCACAAGGGGGTTTTCCAGGGCCATTGCTCCCCGAAACCTCTCTTAAGGGGCCAGGTTCTGGCGCTGGTCCCTGGTAGGTCTGAACTCCATAGCTAATGTCCCGGTCTAATATAACATACAGTAGCCCAATAAGCTCCAGGGAGCCATAGGGGCTCCCCACAGAAATGTAGATTATTATGGGTAATAAATGCATTTTATGATCATATTAAGAAAACATGCAATTGCAGTATTTTGGACATTAATTTTTTTGTTTCACTCGATACAATAACATAAGTGGTTGAAAAGGGCACAAGGAACCAAAAATGTTGTAAATACCATAATAACAGAGAAGCATTTGTGTTATCATTTTGCATGTAAAGACTTTACTTTTTGTTATCAAATTCCATTTCACAAAGCCCCAACAGGCAAAACATTAAAACGTAAAAATAAAATGTAATACAATTGGGTATTTCAAAATTTGGTTTTACAGCTCCATTTCGACCTTCAGTAGGTATGGAGGAACAAAAATGGTGTCACAGCCAAAGTGTTAATGCTTTTTCCTGGAATGTCCACCTATTTTACCTCTACCATAGTAGTACAACACTTTCATAGGGGACCAAATCCAACTAGCCCACTACCTAAATTACAAAAGCTTATTTGAATTTAGAAAAGTTAAGCTTCCAGGTGCCTGAAAACAGTAGATATGACTTAATTATTACCATGGCACCAATAATAATAAGTCATATCTACTATGAATATTAATTAAGAAAATAAGAAGGCAATCTGTAGTAGTAAGCCATTAAATTTGTTCTCCATCAGGAAACCATACAGCAAGGAAAAAATTATAACAAATACAGAAATGCAAGAAGCAGTTTGTTTAAATATATGGAAAGGTAAATAAAGAGGGTGCGGTTTCATGCACTTTGTTACAGTATGCTCATACTTTGCATCAACAGGGAACTAGTATGTGTGACACCTTCCAATCTCTCCCCTGCAGTACCCTCTTCATCATCAGAGTCATCTTCTGTATTGTCTCCATTCTTTGGACGATCTTCATCTGAAGAATCGTCACATACCAACTTGCGATTTTGCTTGGGTCTCTTCCGTGAGCCCCAGCTGGTGCTCGGTCTAATGTCGTCAGATTCACTCTCACTGTAACTTGCCCTTGAAGGGCAGTCATCTTCCGAGTCAGTCATCTTTACAACCACTTCATTGCACACTTCACATGACCCTAAAAGAAAAATACAATTACAATTAAATTAAAAAAAAAGTCAATTACAAAAACTGCTCGAGTAAATAGATTAATACTTGTCTTCTAAAGTGCTATTTAATACAAGGCTTTGTAGATTGTTATATAATCAAAGGAAAATTGTTCATTCTACTACTGTTAAATCTCTTTCTGAATTACTGTTTAATAGGCACTTTAAAGTGCACATGGAAGCAGTAAAGACAGATCCCGATAAAAGAGAAATTGGGATCTGGTATGCGCTTGGCCAGTCAGTTGGCTCAGGGAGAGGAATTGTTGTTTAACGAGGGGGGTGCAGTATATGCAAGGAATTTTGGAATTGGGAAGCCTTGGGTAGAAGGAAAAATTAGGGAAGTCTTGAAATGCAGGAATTTCACCGTGCAAGTGCAGAGTTTTGGGAGCATTCATTGGAAAAGGCATGCAGATCAACTCATGCCAAGGTTCATGGGGAATTTTGAAGACCCTTCAGGTGGGAGTGGGGCAACTAGTGATACCCATCCTAATAATGAAGGGGTAGCAGCACCTGCAGGAGACAGGATCAGCACCTCCAAAGGATACCTGATCAACCAGGCTGTGATTCATACGTCAGGCTGCGAGCAGCCGTGTCAAACAGCTTGGTTGACCAGTCCAGCAACGAGGAGGCCTGGTCGACAGGGCTGCAGGGACGCTAAGCCCCGGAAAAACTCCAAAGTAGGCAAGGTAAGGGAGGCAGAGCAAGTTACTACAGAGGGTAATGGGGATACAGTTAACCCTATGGACTTTGCATTTAGTAATTCAGAAGAATTTTTTCGAGAAGTTACAGGTCTGGACCCCCAGTTGATAAAATCAGGAAGTCATGCGACCGCCTGATAAACTTAACCTGTAGGGGGTAGAGTTTAATTAAAAGGGGAGGAATGTGAGGATTAAGTACTACAGATATTAAGTGTAGCATGTTTTTGAGCAGATGCACTTTTGTTTATAACCTTGTAAATAGTAAGTCATGTACCATATACCTGGATGTTGTTGTTGTTAATGACAATAAACCATGTGGACGAATATTGTTTCTCTTCTGGCCTAAACGTAACACTGCCCTAACAAAATTAATTATTATTTCATTCATATCTATATATACTCTATAGATATGACCGAGCACAATAAGGTTCCGGAACCTTACGTCCATCAATCAATTACAATTGAGGCGGGACCCAAGAGCTGTAACCACAACTAGGTCAAACCTGTACCTGGGAAGACCCGTCTGAAGTCAGTGAGGGTAGTCCCGCCTGGTGCTCCAGCCCCGGGCGGCCAGCAGCTGCAGCAGCTCCAGTAACACAACTGGGAGGTCTGGTCAAGGTGCAGGAGGCGATGTTTACGTCGAGCTTGTGTGGCGGCGGGCCAGGTGGCGCTGCTCTCCCTACCCCTATCCCCACACCCATCAACACCCCCACCAACACCCCAAAACAACTCCCCCTGATTGTAACTTCCTTAGCTAAATGAATTGTGGGGTTCAGTCCCTGAGCCCATTATGTGCCTCTGTAACCCTTTCCACTACCGCCCACAAGATGGGTATGGGGTGCATAATAAATGAACTAAACTAACTAACTACCCCCCCCCCCCAGCCAAGAGGGGGCTAAATCCCCCCCTCCCCCACCACACACTACACACACGATGAAAAACCCTGCCAATCCACTCCCTCCAGCTGATACATCTCGTCCCTTTAAATGTTTACGTATTTTGAGCACTGACTTCCCATATGGGGCTAGACTCATGCAACAGGAGTTTTCTTTAAAGCGACTGCATATCTCTGTGGCCGAGCGCTGAGGCATAGTTTATGCCTACTGAGGCATTTTTTCTTTATAGCTGCTGCAAAGTTTCTCATAAAATAAAATATTCCGTGATGTGATTAATGATTGACGTTATTCGTTGTAGTTAGCCTCTCGTCTACATTGTGACTGACACTATACAAATAGTGCACTGTAGGGGAAGCCTTATAAGTACTTTTTATTCATAGACAATAATCTCGAAAGTTATAATGGGTCCGCACTGTAAGAATAGTTGAACTAAATATAAACATTTCTAAATATGGAATTGACAAGATATAGTTTAAAGCGCCCTGTAGCCTCCAGCAGGCAATAACGCACAAACACGTCATTCTGTATACATTCCCCGAATCAGCGTAAGACACGTAGTGTTAAGCCACCATAATAAAGCATTTATAGGAATACTTTTTTTTATCTTTGTTTAGCTGCGTCCAGTGAAATGTCAAGATAATTGCGCCGTGGTGCGTACGTGAGAGAGAGCGCGCGCGGGCTCGTGTGTAGTTACTAGACAAGACTTACGCTCGTGGTGTCCCGTCTTCCCAGTACTCTTTATCAAATAACACTTTGAAACCACTGATAATTTTGGCCTCCTTCACCACCTCACTTAATTAACTTATTCTTACCGTTTACCACTGTTTGCGAAACTGAATTTTCAAACATTTTTTCTGCAGCTTTGTATAGTTAGCTTAAATCTATTACCGCTTAATTGATCTTCAATTTCTTTATCTATTTTGTCGATTCCTGTTGCTATATTTTATACGTAGTGATCATACCGCTTCTTTTTCTTCTGTCTTCTAGTTTTGGCATAGTCAATACCTCTCCTCGATCGTAGCTGTTAATTGTCTTTCGAGTGATTGATCGATGAAGATTAATTAAGCCACCCAAATGGTGGCATGGGCATGAATAGCCCGAAATTTCAGTTCCGGAAGCCATATATAGTTGCATGTCTTTGCGCCTTTTCCAGCGTGTTGATGTGCTTCTTAAGACATGGGCACCATACATGGGCTGTATATTTATTTATTTATTTATTTATTTATATTCAAGAAGGTACATTGGGTTAGGAAATTACATATATTATGGTTAGAGTCTTAACATTCTTGCAAAGTCACTAACACGCACAGCGTTTCGGGCAGATCCTTATTAAGCTATAGAATAATGGTAACATAATTTGTTGATCAAACCACACATCAGAAGGAGAAACGACGAAGTTTCGGTCCGTCTTGGACCATTATCAAGTCGTATGTGAGGGAGAGAAGGATTGATTGATTGATAAGATTAAGCAATCCACAAGAGAGGGTTGACTGGTGAGGATTAAGCCACCACAAGAGGTGGCATGGGGCACGAGTAGCCCGATTGATTGATTGATGAAGATTAAGCCATTCAAGAGGTGGCACGAGCATGAATAGTCCGTAAATGAGTAGCCCGTGGGTAGTAGATGTTTGGAGTGAATGTTGTCTTTGGTCGTGTAGCCTCTTGAAGTGTCTCTTGGCCTGACCAAGAGAGGGGAATGTTGTTGTTGTTTAAGATTCGCTACTTGGAACAAAAAGTTCCAAGTAGCACGGGATATGGTGAGCCAGTAGTGGACTTGCCTGGCACAGGAGAGGGGCTGGGGAAGAGAGGGATTGATTGATAAAGATTAAGCCACCCAAGAGGTGGCACGGGCATGAATAGCCCGTAAATTGTGCCCAAGATTGATTGATTGATAAAGATTAAGCCACCCAAGAGGTGGCACGGGTATGAATAGCCCGTAAATTGTGCCCAAGATTGATTGATTGATAAAGATTAAGCCACCCAAGAGGTGGCACGGGCATGAATAGCCCGTAAATTGTGCCCAAGATTGATTGATTGATAAAGATTAAGCCACCCAAGAGGTGGCACGGGGCATGAAAGTGGTACAATTTTTTTTCAGTATTCTGAGGTTGCATTTAATCATCAAGCTGTTATCGCGGGGGAAGATACTGCTTCACAGTCTTTATGAAGGTGTCCAGCTGCTGGACACCTTTGTTGACCAGAGTGGCTGTGTTGATGGCTTCAGGGTGGCCACTGCAAGATTCAGGAACTCTTAAAGCTCTTCTAAAGTCGTTGGTTGCTTCACATTCCAGAAGATAGTGAAGTAATGGCTTTCTGTGACAGTTTGGCAGAAGATGCACTCTCTCTGTCGTGGTTCACCAATCTCCCAGTTGCATCTGTATTGATTGATTGATAAAGATTAAGCCACCCAAGAGGTGGCACGGGCATGAATAGCCCGTAACTCGCATCTGTAACCTAGACGTAGTCTATATAACCTAACTGAAGAGAGGGGAAGAAATGGGTAATAAATAAGGAAAGAGTGAGGTGAGGAGCAGGTAAGAAAAGAAGGTAAAAGTAATAATAAGGAATAATAATGAAATTTCTTTCATCCCATTATTACACTCATTTCATTCATACCTTTCATCCTATGAAAGGTATTTTAGTAAATTATTACCGAGACCGTAATATGCTTTCAGACCATCACAGATTTCTAGATAACTATCTAAGTGGTTTGAAAGGGAGTGCGATTTCTCACAGTAATGGATTTACTGGAAGGACGAACTCCAACACGATCTGATATGCGATCTGATATAACCCAAGATAATCTAATATACTGCAACCTAGCCTGTTTTAGTCCAACACATACTAGCCTAATATAGCCCAATCCATCCGAATATGATCTAAGACAACACAGTTAAGATGTTCCGATTTATTCTAATACAACCCAAACTGATTTAACCTATCTAAATCTGATTTAAGCTATTGAACTGAATATGATTAAGCACAACAAAGCCTAGTCTGTTCCAGCTGAGCACAACTAGCTTGAAGTAACCTAACTCATTATCTGCTCATCCTAGCCTAATCTAGTCACAAAATATAAAGTTTGATAAAGCCTAAAATATCTTTGCCTAATTTAGCAGAATATCTAGCAAGAATGACTGTGTCCAACATCAATAATCTGACCTCACCGGATGAAACATTTTTTGTGTTCTGGCGAGGCGACCACAAAGACTTCAGTCATATTTTGTGGTCAAGAGTACAGTCACATAGTTTTGTTAAATTTTTTGTTGAGAAATGAATATTAATAATTCAGCCCGTCCTCATACTTTTGTGCTTACGTATTTTACGTACGTGTTTTAGATAAAATTGAATAAACAATTATTTATCTTAAATTGTCATATATTCTAACTTTTATCTTTCTAACAACTAAGAATAATAGTCTCAGTGTTTTGTTGTCATTATGGCTTATATTTGGTGTGGTGATAAATTATTCAGACCACATTCATAGTGGCTTTAATTAGGCATGTTTCCCTTGCTTTGTATCATGCCCGCAGCGACGCCGGTCAATACGTCAACGATGACAGTCTGACAACATAGAGCACAAAAACACGCTGTTTTCGATAATGAGCTCTGCATAAAGGTAACAAGAACCCACCATCAACCCGTGTGAGAGAAGCAGGAGTTGTTGAGGCAGGTTAAGCGGGAAGGAAGGCCACAGGGTGAGGTGAGAGTGGGGAGTGACCACCTCACCGGTGGGGCACGGCGTCCCGTGGACAGGTCGCCATTGCTTCTCTAAATCAACACTCACCAGGTAGGCACTGTCAGTAATTGGAAAGTTGTTTGTTGTTTTTGTTATTTCACTAGCTAATTACCGCAACTATCTTGTTATAGATTTATACTTTAATGTCAATGAACTTTAAAGGAAGATTTTGACATTCCCGATTTGGGTATGTAACATTTAATATCCCTCTAAGCTTTCTGATTATAGGCAGTTGGTGAATTTGGTGGCATACTGCCCTAACAACACGGTTGTCCCGAGTTAAGCTCTCACAGAGAAGGCATGGACGGTTTGCACTGCGATGTAAGGTAGTTTCCTGAGCAGTATAATCATTATCCCACTACATATATAATAGGTAGGAATTATCTGGGGAAAGCACCAAGCCATTACGACTATATAGCACTGGGAAGGAGTCAGATTGAGGATTTGAGAGGGGACGGGGGGGGGGGGGGGGGGGGGGGGGGTGAGGAATGGTGCCCAATCACTTGGACGGTCGGGGATTGAACGCCGACCTCCATGAAGCGAGACCGTCGCTCTACCGTCCAGCCCAAGTGGTTTGGGAGTGGCTTATAATGGCAACCTTACTAAAAAAAAAAAAAGTATGGCTTATAATAGCAACCTTACTCTATTATAGGGTCCCTGCACTGTTATTGGTAAGACCAGAACATAACGATGCCAACACAGAAGACAATGTCCAACATAACAGGCCAAATATATATATATATATATATATATATATATATATATATATATATATATATATTAGTATATTTTGGTAGCAGTCTTTCCTGTAGACATATATTATTAAATATGACCGAAAAAGTAAGATTAATAATTCTAACACGAATTTTCTCGATCTTTCGTACGTTTCTTTTCACTGTTGGTGGTAATTCAAAAATCAATTCTCCAAAATTCATTTTTATTTCTAGTCTGACGCGACACTTGAGCGCGTTTCGTAAAACTTATTACATTTTCAAAGACTTTAGCTTACACATACACAACTGAATAGAACTTGCACATCTTCGATTTGTT